CAGAGTTCAATGTCATTCTCAACATAACCTCAGTAGCTACTGCATATGCTAATGCATCGTCGATGATTATCTCATTTCTACACAAAACATCATCCAAGCTAGCATAATGAACTGAAATCTCACGATTCTCGAGATATGGATTCGTCTCTTCAAGGACGATTCTGTAATCTAGAATTTCCTCATGAGTTGGATAGAATGAGTAGGCAATAGTCGGATTCATCATAGGCTCTTCAAGGTCAATGTCGTGGATTTCCTCTTCCAGGAGTGTGAATCCTTTGAACCAAAAGGTCTACCAAGTTTTTGTGTAAAGATAGATGATTGGATAGCCGCTAATGTATGTGGATTGGCCAAAGTGGCGTCACGGGCTTCCAGAAGGGAAGTTCATCATACATTTCGTTCATCCATCTTTGCAGGCACATTCGCAACTAGAATATGTGATCTTGTGACTCACGCAAGATCAGTGAAAGCATCTGGCATGCTCTGAGCTACGCTCTGGAGATCTAATATGCGTTGCACTTCAATTTCAGATTGAGGGGTGTAGGGATCTAAATGAGACAATGTGGGAGTCGTCCATGATAATTCGCGTCGTTCTTTAGGAACGGTGACGTTCTTATCTCCCCTTAACAATAAGAAGACTGTCTCATAGAAGTGACAATTCGTTAAACGAGTGGTAAACAGATCGCCTATCAAAGGTTCTAAGTAACGAATGATCGAAGGATAATCATATCCGACATAGATTCTCATCTTTCGCTGAGGCCTTATTTTTGTATGTAAGGGCAGCGAAATCGACACATAAACCGCACAACCAAAAACATGCAGATGCGATATGTCGGATTCGTATCCGGTAACCAACTGAAGGGCGCTATATGGATGGGTCATAACAGGCCTCAGGCAGACTAACATGGCTACGTGCAATATTACATGGCCCCAAGCAGCAATCGGGAGCTTAGTATGTATGACCAACGATCAAGCAATCATTTGTAACCGCTTAATGAATGCCTTTGCCAGGCAGTTCTGGGTGTGAACATGGGGTACTGGATGTTCAACTTTAACCCTAATCGATATGCAATAGTCATCAAAAGTTTTAGATGTGAATTCTCCAGCATTATCCAATCGAATAGATTTGATCAGATAATCAGGGTGGTGAGTATATATTGTATATTAAATATGTATTATTTTATTATTATTCTATAACTATAATAAGTTTAAAAAATAAAATAAAATATTATAAATACTAAATAAATTATATATAATGCGGATATAGTCGAATGGTAAAATTTCTATTTGCCAAGGAGAAGACGCGGGTTCGATTCCCACTATGTGCCCAAGATAATAGATCAATATATTAAATTTCATTTTTTATTTAATAGATAAAGCATTAAGTATAGCTGACCACAATAGTATAGGGGTTCTACTCTCCCCTCTCTTTTCCTCCCACCAAAAAGAAAAGGGTAATTCATTATTCTATTTTTTTTTGTCAAAAAAAAATGTTGCGGAGACGGGATTTGAACCCGTGACCTCAAGGTTATGAGCCTTGCGAGCTACCACGCTGCTCTACCCCGCGATGCATAGAAGAACTGAGAATTAATGGACAAACAAGGATTGAATGCGCCCCTCTACCATATCCGTACAAATAGGATAGCCCATTTATACAGAATGGTAAAGAGGCCCCTCTATGATCAGAGAAATTAATAGAAAATGGATATTTTATTACTTGCCCTAAGCTTGATAACATGAGCCAACAGTTTGGAGAATGCAGCGTTCCTTGTGGACAACAAGCACACGTATGACCAACATGTGGAAGCGTTAACCAAAACCATAAAATATCTAAATGGTCTGCAAAAAGGGTGAATTAGTCCACAAATGTCCTCCTGAATCCTTTGTAGAAAAATAGGAGGATTCGAGCGAATCTTGTCATAAGAAGGCTTAATAATAAACTTTACCATAGAACATGTTTGCTATGCGATTCCTTGAATCGAACCTAAACTTCAAGTTAATGGATGTCCGTGTGGTAATTTGAGGATACGGCGCATTGCTGTTCGTCCAGGGTGTCCCAAACGATCATGCCAAACTGTAATTTCGTGTGCGATCCCTGAGGTAGGGTCGGCCACATATTGGCTCCCTATAGGGCTTATGGTTGTAGTATACAAACCACTTTGGATGCGCTCCATCTTCTCTAGAATACGTTTTTGGCCATATTCGTAGGAAGTGAAGCACAAAAATTCAACTCTGTTTTCTACATACGTTTCAGTGTGGTAATTATTATCTCTAATGTCCTTGAAACTCAACAACATTCTTCCAGAACGTGGAGAATAGAATGCCTCATCAATGGTAAAGATTGTATCATTGAACAACATTATATGTGCCTTACCGCTTCCTTCGATCAGGTTAGATGGTCCTGAGAGGGTTGTCAGAGGTGCATTCTTAGGTATGAAGTTAGTGAAATAGATGCATTCACGCAAAACGGTGTGTGTGGTTGCACTATATGCCAAACAACTAACTTTCCCACTAGTCATACCTAGAAATAAAAATTAATTGAACTAGTCACATGCATAAAAGTTTGAAAACTTAAATCCATTCAATTAATTTTTTTGAGAAAAATTTATGAACTTCAGGTTCATATTACTTGCAAACAAGCGCATATATATACAAAAATATGCAACAAGAAGATATGCAAATAGAACTTCAGGTCTTAGAATTATAATAATTGAATTAATTTTTTAGACTTCAAACCAAAATTAAAGTGTGGGTGAAAAAAAAAAATTAAACTCGAAGCCTAAATATATAGGCCAAAAGCCCATGGGTGGGCTGAACAAATTAATATCATGAGATCAGGCCCAAATTTAAGTTGGAATTGGCTGATCAGGCCAAAAGGATGCAGGCCCAAGGCAGCAAACGGGCTACCAAGGAAAACCAGGCTCAAAATAGGCCCAGGCGAGGGCGTTAATCGTGTGCAGTAGGGAGCACGGATGCACCAACGAGGTTGGGATTCAGTGTGTCGCAGTGCAGGAAATCCACAACAGCCGCATGGGCTGGGTTCCACTATAATGGAGACATCGAGGCCCAATTGGGCTAGTGTCATGAGTGGCCCAAGATAAGGGTTTGGGCTTGCAGTAATGAGCCCAAAAGAAAAAAGAAAACCTTTTTTTTATTTTCTTTCAGCTTGAGTTGATGCTAGGCCCAAAAATTGATATTGGGCTTGAACCAAGAAATCCTAGCAGAGCTAGAGGTTTTCGTCGGAGAAGATGACTAGCGCCACCACTGCAGGTGGCCAAATCTTGGACGGGAAGACTCAGGGGTACCCTTTTTGGGTGTTTTCGACCATGATTACGAACGGAGATTTGAAATCTCAACGTTTCAACCAAAAAACCCTAGAAATTCAAATTGAATTTCAAAAAATCCAACGAGATTCAAAGGAATTTTGGTCAATTTTCGTCAGTGGATGAGCTTTAGGCCGTCATGACAGTGACCCAAGGTCGAGGTTGGGTTGCAGGGCCACCTGTGATGGTGGAGACGCCATTGAAGGTGTTGGGTTTTTCTAGGTTTCAAAACCAGAAGCCTTCGACTCTGGTTGTATGGTTTCGCGGCTCGGCTCAGCCACTCAGGTTGCAAGCCTAAGGGTTGATGGCTCGACAACTTGGCGGCTCGCCAACCGTGGCTCTCACGGTAAAGGGGTTTGGAACGAAACCTTAATCCATATTTTAATATATTTTTTTTCAATTTCCAGACTAATTCAATGCATATTCATATAAATAATTTAATGCATGGACATATATTTGATGCAATTCATGGTAATATCAAATTCACATAATTTAATAATTATGAATATAATGCATACATAATTTATATAGAATCTACAGTTTGAAAAACGTAAAATTAAGTCATGCATTATGGTGAATGTTCATGTTATCAGGGCTGCAAAAATATCAAGATAAAAATCGTTGTTTTGAAAGAACCTGATTGCATGATGATATTAATGAACTGGTTTGATGCAGAAAACTTCCACGTTAGATTCCTAAGTGCAACAGTAGGAGCGTGCTGATAACGTGTTGTGACCTATATTTAACTGACAGTGAGAGGGGGGCCGGAGGCACAAAGAAAATACAGAGAGAGATGTGTTTGTAAGGTTGTGTAGAGGATGTATTATTCTCCCTACGCATTGCCTTTATTTATAGTAATAAGGGAATGAATAAAATTTTCTCCTCCAAAGAATACAAGTCCTAATATGGAAGAATAATTAAAATCTAATCTAATCTAAGATTTACACAATCACACTTACATAAGAAGTTTATAACATATATAATATTTTCAATAAATTAAATACTTGTTTAGAATTAAAAAAAAAAAGAGATTAATTTGGAAAGACAGTAGGGACTAGGGAGATATAAGATTCTTAATTCTTGTTTTTTTGCTTGTTTATATGTTACTTATAAGGGTGAGATTGTTTTTTTTAGACCACCTTCAATGGTGGGTTAAATGCTAAATTCCCCTCCAAATTCCTCCCCCCCCCCCCCCCCAAACCATCTCCAACCAACCCATGCTAAAACATTGGGCTAAATGCCAAATGTTAAAGCTAGGCCAAATACCCCCCAGAATTTCCACCCCCCCCTCAGCCCCCGCGTGACTGGACTAGCTAGCCATTGGGCCAGTCTCGGCCCCTTCACTCTCCAACGCGCCCCATGCGAAGCGCCTGCAATTCGTTTCCGACAGGGGTGGGCCCCATTGTCAGCGGTTTGTCGGCCACCCAATGCAATCCAACAGCTACATTTTCAATCTGATGGCTGGTTTTCACGGACCGTTGGTTGATCCAACGGTCCAGATTCAATTTTGATTTTTTTAAATATGTTATTTTAAAATACATTGAATCCAACAGCTGAGATCGAATATAAGCAAATCTAACGGTAAAAAAAAGATCTAACGGTCCAAATTTAAATCCAACGGCTAAAATAATTTAAAAAAATTATTTAACTCAAAATTCACCCAAAAACTCTATAAATACCTATGTATTTGTTCAAACATCTACACAAAACTCAATTTTCTCTTACAATTCTTCCAATTTATTTTTTTCTACCATTTCTTTCCATTTCCAAATTGTTAAACATGGCAAGAGAGCATATTAGAGGTCGTACTTGGACCTGTGAGGAAGATATTGCTCTATACTTGGCATGGGTTTCTGTTAGCGAAGATGGTGCAGTTGACACAAATCAAAATAAGAAGGTTTTGTGGGATAAAATCATTGCAAAGTTTCAAGAAAACTGCAACAGCGGCGGGCGGGATGGTGGTGGTGTTTATGATCGGTGGAAGACTATCAACAAAGCATGCACTTTATGGAAGGGAAGCTTGGAAAGAGCTGTGGTTGGCATGGCTAGTAAAAGGAGGGCCACAGAAATTGTGAGTTTTGTTCTTGATATTTTATTTGTCATGTACATAATATTATGTTGCAACTAATTATTTTTATGTATTTTTTGCATAGGGTGACAAAGCAATGAAAATTTACAAGACAAGAGTAACACCAAAAAATCAAGTTTTTAAGTTGCAACATGCTTGGGACGTCCTTAAGGATTGTCCAAGGTGGGAAACCGATGCGGACCAACAATAGAGAAGATTATTTCAATGTGAAGCTACACAGACAAATGCCGAAAATGAAGATGTCAATGAAATGACCCCATCTCCTTCTTTTGCAAGGCCCCCGAGAAGAGATAAGCAAAATGAAGCAAAGAAAAAAGGGAAGTCCCAAGATCCAATGAGTGGACACTTTGATACCGGAATTACAAAATTGAACGAAACTCATAGCGCTCGCCTAGAAGAATCAGTCCGAATGTGTTTGCAAATGAAGGAAATCTCGGATAGGGAGGAAAATAGGTTTGAAATTGAATTCATGATGAAGGACCTCAGCAAATACATTCTAGAAAGGAAGAAGTTCTTACATGGTAAGAAAAAGGAAATTATGCGAAAGTCTGCCTCAAGGAGTATGTTTCAAGATGATGAATCCTCTGAACCTTATATCCCAACATTTAATGAAGTCCATCACCAAGTGAAGATGGTGGATATGATTGTTAAATTTATGTAGTGTATGAATTATATGCTTTATTAATTAAGTTTATGTAGTTTATTAATTATGTGGTTTATAAATTATCGGTTTTATTAAGTTTATGTGGTTTATGTACTTTATTAAATTTATGTCTTATTAATTATCCAATTATTTATGTCTTATTATTCCATACTTTGATGTAGAATAGATGTCTTTAATAATTCAACCTCCATTCAATAATTTATCCAACGTACTAGACAAAATACTTTGCACAAGAAAACACTTAAATTTATTACTAGAAAATGACAACATAGTAAAATACTTTGCACAAGAAGACACTTAAATTTATTACTAGAAAATAACAACATAGTACACTTAAAATTATTACATAAATGCTTATCCAACAACATCAACGTTCACCTTCTCAGCGCCATACATGCTCAACCAAATCCTTACGGAGTGTGTCATGACATTGAGGAGCTTGAATTCTATTTAAACGTCTCATATACTCACTCAAGGCGACCCTATCCTGTCAGGTCTCATATGTGGTTGGAGCGAGATATTCAACATCTCTTGCAATAGCTCTCGCATGTGTTGGTTGGTCATCATCCACATCTTCGTTTGAATCTTCTTCAATTTTGATGTACTCATCTTCCACAATCATGTTGTGCAAAATTATGCACATCATCATGATTAAATGGAGGTCTTCGGACTACCAAAATCGTGCAGGCCCTCTAACAATGGTCTATCGAGCTTGTAAGATCCCGAACGCTCTCTCCACATCCTTCCTGTAAGACTCTTGTATCTACAAAAATAATTTCTTCTTTGCATTATCGGGATGAGAAAAACTTTTGACAAAGGTAGACCAACTAGGATAAATACCATCAGTTAGGCAGTAACCTAGCTCATACCTATTACCATTTACCTTGTACCGAAATTCTGGTGCCTATCCATTGACAACATTATCGAACAAAGGAGAAGACCAAAGAACGTTGATATCGTTGTTTGATCCAGGAGCACCGAATAAAGCATGCCGAATCCATGTGTCGTAAGACATCACAGCCTCAAGCACGATGGTTGGCTTGTCATGACGGCCTTTGAATTGGTCAACCCAAGCAGTAGGACAATTCTTCCACTCCTAATGCATACAATCGAGACTTCCTATCATGCCAAAGAAGCCTCTTTTGTCTGTTTTGCATAGAAGCCTCTTCAAGTCTTCACGATTTAGGTTGCAGAGGTATATGACTCCATATATGCTTTCAATTGCCTTACAAAAACGCTTCAGGTTCTCAATAGCAGTACTTTTTGCAAGTTGGCAATACTCGTCAGTTGAGTTTGCAGAGCACCCATTAGCTAGCATGCAAAAAGCAGATGTGAGCTTTTGATGAGGTGATAGACCTTGTCGGCCAGCAGCATTTAGCCTTCTTGCAAAGTAGTGGTCATGATTGACAACTGCATTCAAGATGCTTTCAAAAAACTCTATCCTCATCCGAAACTGCCTTCGAAAATCATGAGCAGGAAATCTCGGACGCTCGATGAAATAATCTTTCATCATTTGGCCATGACATTTTTTTCTATCACGCTGCACATATGAACGACCCGTAACAGAACAATGATGGCTAGATTCTCCATGGTGCTCAGATTGCATAAACGAGTTAATAACTTCAACTTCGGCGTTGAACAATTATGCATCCTCAATCTCGATCCTTGATTGGTATTGTGCCATCTGTATTGTCATGCTACGCCTTCTTCTATCACTCATTGATGAGATATTGAGGATTTTTAGGAAACAAAAATTCTTTGAAAGTTGAAAGATTGGTGAATATAAAGGATGATTGAAGGTTGAAAGGTTGTATGATCAACAAATATTAGACATATGTTTATATAGAAGATGATTGATGAAAGTTGAATGGTTGGTGAAAGTTGAAAGTTTGATGTTGAACGGTTGGTGAATTTAAAATTTGGTGTTGAAAGGTTGGAGAATTGAAAGTTAGTCTAGGGTTGAAAGATTGGTAAAAGTTGAAAGCTTGCTTTGTAGAAAATTTAGTGATTTTTTAATATTTATCAAAATTTAAATTTTTTTAAATTAAAATGTCCATAAAATTAATTTACGATAGTTTACATATATTTTTTTTTAAATTTAATTTAAAAAAAAAAAACCTAAGTTCATTCTTTAATAATTTCAAGTTAAAATTTTAGATCAGAACGGTTAGAGTAAAAAAGCTATTTCTGAACTAAAAACTAAAATTTAGCTAAATTATTTAGCTTTTAACCCAACATTGAAGATAATCTTAAGGGGTTTGTATTTTCATATACACTTTCTTCATAGTAATTACCATTTGAAATAATTTCTGGCTCCCTCAATGAAAGAGAGGGATGAAAAGCAAAACTCAGCAATTAGCACAAGTTAGTTCTTTCATTCCAAGAAAACTAACAGATTACAAAAAGACCCCATTTTTCCAAAGTTTCCGGCCATCTCCTCCATACACCAAAAGATTCCATATATTCACATAAAAAGACAGAGCACCGACAAACACAACTTTCTCCAACTTATTATTCTTCCCTACTTTTTATACATCTTTCTTCGTCTTCACATATTTCAAACAGCAGACTTCTTCGATTTCTTAGCAGCAGAGCTCTTGATCGACTTGGGCTGCTTGGGCTTCGCTGCGGTTGACATCTTGTTCTTTTTCCCGGGCTTCTTAGCAGAGGAGGTCGTTTTGGTCTTCTTCTCCGATTTTGGTTTCGAAACGGCGCTTGTTTTGGCTGTCGATTTCTCCTTCTTGCCCGCCTCGGAGAGCTTGTACGAGGCCCTGATCTTGATCAACTTTCCTCTTGCCGCCGAGTTCTTCAGCTGCAGCGCCAGAGTCTTCCTGAAGTTCGCCGGGAGCACCGCCTTGTGCTTCTCCTCCATGTGCTTTGCTATGGCGTACGGACTCGACCCGCTCTTCTCGTTCAGCGCCATAAGTGCTTCCATTATCATCTGCAAACAAAATTCGCAACCAAAATTCAAAACCAGATTCAAAAACTGAAGAAAATGATCACAAATCTTGAATTCGAGCACCATAATCAAAAACCCAGAAGCAGAAATGGAGAAAATGAAGAATGAAGAAATCGGGATCTGAAATCACAAATTCAAGTACCTGAAAGTATGGAGGATGAGCGGCGGTTTTGGTTTTGGGTTTGGGCTTTGGCTGTGCAGGCTTTCTCTCTTTTGGAGTCCTGGGTTTCGTCTGCCTAGTTGGCTTTTCTTCCTTCTTGGGCTCCTCCGTCACCGGAGCCTCCTCTGGCGGTGGGGCATCCACGGCGGGTGCTTGAGCTTCTTCGGTGACTGACATCGCAAAAACAGAGTAAAGAAAACGCTAAATTTTTCGTTTCCGCAGTAGAAAGATAACCAACTGACGGGATTAGAAACTGGACCTCTTGGAATTTAAATGGAGGGAGCAATCTGCGGCTGAGAAATTCTGGGCAGTGATTGGGCGATTCGATGTGTTGGGGATTGCCAGGTGTGCGTCGGAGAAATCGGGGACGTACACGTGGAGATAGAATTGGATGCTGGATTTCCTGCGTGGCGATTTTGGTTTTGTCATCGAGTTTGATTGTGGTGGGAAGTGTGTTTGTCTGTGTTTTTCTGGTTATTCTTGTCGGGGATTTTCTGGGGGTTTAATTTTTATTTGGATGTGGAATTTTGGGGTTAATGAAGAGAGGAAAGTGTGTTTTTTGCAATGTGGGTTGAAGGAGCAAAAATGGTTTACATTTAAGGGTGAAATTGTGGTAGAAAAACAAAAGAATAACAATTTCTTTAGAGGGAAAGAGAAACATTTGTTTTTGTTGGTTGAATGAGGTTTATCATTAGCAAAATAATTTCCGAAAATGCGAATCAAGTGACACAGACATAGAGGAGTGTGCACAAAAGAAAAAAACGTGAAAAAAACCCAAATTTTGTAAGCTCACACATATAGCTCTACTCATCTTAAATTTCTTTGTTCTAATTATGTTCATCTTCTTTTTCTTTTGTTGGAATTCAATTTATCTTCTCTCTATACTCCATTTGTTTCCCATCAATTACATTGTGAAAATGCCCAAATTTCAAGTATGAGTTGAATACGCCCTAGGTGGTACGAATATCCATGTTCAACCTTCCGTGTTTAAATTCTATGGTCTTCCAATTGCGTTATATGTCCTACTTCAATCTTTTCGTCAATTTGATCTCCTATTTAAAGAGTAAAGAATAAAAGTGAAACACGCGGGGTAATTAGAGGATCGCATAATTTAAAAATTAAAGTAATGGAAAAAGGTCAAATACGAATATGAGTTCAATGACCATTGTCGTAATCAAAATTTCACACACGTAATTGATCGAAAGTTTTTGAGACATCGATCAACTGTATTTGGTGAAATTATAATAAACAAGATATAAACTATCAACGTCTTTACAAATTCTCAGTCCAACGTAAAGACTTGGTTTTTGTTCTAGAATTTTCTCTGTTATGGAAACCTGAATGAACAAATGACATGACAGAGGAACTTTATAATGTCCTGCTCGTAATTCAACTCTCTGTACGGCACCCTGCATTATTCGAGACTGCCAAACAGAAAAGTAGCACCATAATGCAGAAAATCAAACACACCACATACTGTACCTGACATACGTTAATCATGACATTCTACATGCCCTCGTTTGGCGTTTAAAATTGGCTGAATTAGATAACTCACTATATTCAATGTATGCCTACTTCCAGTTTTTGTCGATTGAGGGTAAAAGATGGACTCGTAAGAAGAAAAACTATCCCTCCCAAAATTTGGAAGTTTAGATCCAGTTCTTCCTTCAACATACATTGGATCTAGAGAGTTACCCAATCCAAACCAATCCATTCCAATCCTACACACCAAACAAGCCTATACAGTTAGCAGTATCCATGTTTCTGTATGCTCAATGTTTTCAACAGAGAAATGGAACCTATATACAACTGCTAGTAAGAAAATCTTAATGTTACGCGATATGCAACAAGAGGCACGGGTCATAACACCAATCAATGACAAGTCAGTATAATACCTAATCCTCTAGTGGGCAGTGTTAAGTATGTCAAAACCAATCATAGCAGAGTCATACAGATCCTCTTCTGGGAGAGGATCGGTAGGACGAAGCTACTACCCATTTGACAAAACAAAGACTAACTACCTTCAAATAAGAACCCAAAAATAGTGCATTTAGATTAAACCTTTATGAAATTGATATAACCGGGCACCATATGACCTGATCAATCCCTTATGCTCCTTGCAGATATAACATCAAAGCAAATGTGGTTGAATTTTTTGTAATTCCAAATGGCATCATCCCTCGGAAAAATACGAAAACTAAGGTATACCTCTGGCAGAACAGTTTCATGACAAAAGGCAAAACTGGTTATGAACCGCTAAATCCATGCTAAATACAACAAAAGAACCCAAAGCTACATTTCAGTATGGAGAAAAGCACCACATAACATCATATACACCAACATCAGAATGTCATATAGAGCCTACCCTAATTTAGAAAAACCTCTGAGAATATAATCACACATGTTTCTCATTTATTTCGAAGAGAACTCCATCATTTATACGTATTTGTCTCTCCATAAAAAACCATCGGTTCATCTTCATCTGCATGTCTGACCTTAACCCTTGCATCTCCATGAAAAAGGATAAACCCTAAACTAAAAACCTGTCATCTCTAAAATCACCAAACTTGACTTCTCTAAACCACAAAATAACTGCAATCAACAAGTAATTGGCCCAGGTCGGTATTTATAGATAGGGATGAAACAAGTACCTTAACTTCAAAAGAACAACTATAACACAGTGCATCGAGTTGTCCATGCCTAATGAGTCAGTCTCTTTCCACCTCCACTATACACATAATTACTAGTTTCTAAGTCAAGGCCCTTGGAGACTACCTAAACTACAAACAGAAAAGATTTGGAAATCCTACTGAAAATTAACTTAATGGGCAACGAACAAGTGAAGAAGACAGATAGAGGAGAAAAAAACTATGCAACTTCTTTCAAACAGCAAGCCGCTAGCCCATCTTCAATAAAGTACACCTGATCACAATTAAATAAGTACCATTACGACATTAACGTACCAAATTCACAATAACGGATTAGACTTAAAATCACAAAACACTCGTATTACCAAAAAGTTCTTGAGTTTAATAGTAGCGGCCACCTGCATATGAGTGATTGCCCTCGAAATAAGATGAATATGGACCGAATTATACTGCAAAACGAGATTTGATGCATCATAATTACGTTAATGTAAAATGTAAAGTAAGGATCAAGTGAACATCAATTGCTTACTCCGGGACCATAATAATCATGAGGGTAGACACTGCTGCGAGCTCCGTAAGTATCTAAAAGACAAGTCAATTAAGATAGTAAACTGACATAAAAGTAACTATACAGGCAAGACGAGGAGAAGAGAGGAAAATTAAAAGAAAACTGAGCATAAACTCTTTACCCCTATAATGGTTTCCATGAAACGAAGCTGCTGGATCAGTGTAATCCAACCGTG